TGGGCTATAAACATCCCTAAGATTTTCAATTATGTGCCTGTTCCTGATACGGTAAAGCTATTGAGCAAACTTTTTCTTGAGAGAGACGGCTGGATACAAATCGTTTATCATTCATACCTACCCGTTTCTAGCACAGTAACTTTTTATGGAGGAATTGACTACATCTAACTGAGCCTGCAGGGTTCGTTTCTGCAAAGCGCGAGCTAGGAGTTTTGCATATATTTTTGAAAAAAGTATTCTTAATTTGTGCTAACAGGGGAAGTACTCCAAGCGCGACGCACAGTTTTTGATGAAACTTGGCACAGATTTAGAAAATTTTCTTCTAAAATATGTGCGAGGATCCTAGCTCGCGCTTTGCAGAAACAACCGAGATTTTTAGATTGAAAGTCGGCGAAAATTTGAGACTTTTTTGCGAATTTTGTAATGAAAAGTTTCATGCCAATTTCTACCATTGAGGGTAATGCTTCCACAAAAAATCAAATTTTTCCGCACGAAACTGCCAATGTTATGGCCAAAAAGCGTTTTTCTCTTTGACCGCTCTCCACGTTTAGCGTGCTCTCTCGGCGGCGAAAATCGTTCAATATCTCGGTGGCACCTGCTAAGCGCGAGCTAAAACTTTCAGGAATTAATATCTAGTCCATACCCGACGTGTGTGCAAAATTTAAAGAAAATCTGGGCGTCGCACTTGGAGTACTTCCCTTGTTAGGCTAAAAAGTGTTGAAATTTTGAGAAGATGCAAAAATTTCTTACGTAATATGCCGTGAAAATGTTATATTCTATCTTTTTTAAAGTATCATTGAACTCACAAACTCAAATTTTGAGCTCTTTCCGAGTCTACTAAAAGTTCAGCAAAGAAATAAAATAAAAAATTCAAAGAAAAAATCCGCTTCAAAAAATTCAAAAACAACTCAACATCTTTGCTCTTTTATTTTATCACATAATATCTTTATGTTTCTGTTATATTTTTTATATTTTTTTTGAAAGTAAATACATATTTTTGCTTCCAAATTTTTAGCCTTCTTTCTCTAATACTCATTTTCAAATCCCCTCCACTTACCCATCTTCTTCGGCTAAGCCCGGGATTTTTGCGCATTTTCCCAGGTCAAACCGGGGGTTCTGTTTATCCGCCTCTTTGTTTAGTCAGCGCTTCGTATCTGTTCGCCAAAATTTGTTCAAGTCATTTTAACGGGATCTCGAACGGCTCGCGACGTAAGCGATAATCTGCTTGAGGGACTGGTCTATTTGCGCTTGTGTGTCCGAATCTCTGCATAGTGCATTTTAGGGGGCCAAATTTAAAAAATTTTAGCAAGTTTCCATTTTAGGCTCTTCAAAGTTCCTCAATTTTTCTTTATATCTTATTATGGTCATCCTGTTTCCTTTTTATTTCCAAAAAATCTTGCAGCACTCTGTTTTGCCGCATTTCCGCACACGCAATTTGGTTAATTGCTGTGTACGCAATACACGAATTGTTCTGCGGACGACTGCGGAATTAAATATGAAGCTTTTATCCGGGGTTTTATTGGGCCCAATTTTCAAATATTTTATTGGAAATTTTTCAGTATTTTCTGCAAAATTTACAAATTTCACATAAAAAATTTGATTTTTAAAAATTTTATTTTTTGTTATTGACTTTTTAAATTTAGAAATTTTGAATTTTTTTATGTAAAAAATCTCAATTTAAAAAAAAATTTTTTTGGCCGGTTAACCAAAAATTTGCGCACTTTTTGCGCCGCCGAATGAATGCAAATGAACCTCTCTTCTAATGTATTTATTTCACTTTAGGTGGCTAAAATTAAGAGAAGACGGAATGATGGCCGCGTCAAGAAATGGAGAGAGATCCGGCTCGCTCTTACTCATTTCTAATATTTTTTTGACCCAGCTCTGAAGCCTGGAGCTTTTTTTCAGCTTGGGCTTAAAATTTTAATTTTAAAAGGTTTAGGAATATTTTTAATTTAAAGGGGAAGTACCTGAAGTGCGAAACTCAGATTTCCTTTAAATTTTGCACACATGTCGGGCATGAACTAAACATCAATTCCGGAAAGTTTTAGCTCGCGCTTTGCAAGTGCAGCCGAGATATTGAACGATCTTTGCCGCCCAGAGAGCATGCGAAACGCGGAGAGCGGTCAGAGAAAAAAAAAACAATTTTTGCTCATAACTTTGCCAGTTTCGTGCGGAAAAAATTGATTTTTTGTGGAAACATTACCCTCTATGGTAGAAATAGGCATAAAACTTTTCGTGCTGAAATTCGGCAAAAAGTGTCAAATTTTCGCCAACTTTCGGTTGTCTCTGCAAAGCGCGAGCTAGGATTTTCGCATATATTTTAGAAAAAATTGTTCTAAATTTATGCCAAGTTTCATCAAAATCTGAGCGTCGCACTTGGGGTACTTCCCCTGTTAGATTTTTTTAATTTGCCAAGTGCATATTTACTAATTTTAAGTATATTTTTCATCATCAAAATAAAAAAAAGTAAAAATAATGATCAAATTGAAGTATATTTTTACCGGACAAAAATTTTTTTTCATCTTTTAAAAATTTTGTTTTGAAAAAACCCAAAAAGTCTGTAAAAATGTTGTTTTCCATAGTAGCTGCAGGACTAGCCATTATTTGCCTTGGAATCCCCAAAGGCAGAGTAATTGCGGAGAGCGATCGAAACGAAAAAAGCGCTTGACCTTGAACGGCCGAAGAAGTTGGACTCAACGACCAAATTATATGCCACATTACTGCTTCTACTGCCATTGAATTTCAAAAAAAATTTTATTCGATTTTATCCACGCTTTGCCGTGCAATGAGGGACCTGATCCAGTGGCAAAAAACGTACCATTTTGCATCCGGGAAGTATCAAAAATGTGGCAAAATGCTTCCCTGTCCAAGTGAAAAAACTCCGATTTCAAACACCCCCTGTTGGCGACTTCATTGAAACCGCCAATTATTTCCCACGAATTTGCATAAAGTCAAAGGACAAAGTCTTCATAAGATCAATTTTCCCTATTCTCAGAAGTCGGTGTCTCGCGCTCCTCTAGTGAGCGGTTGTGTGTGTTTCTCGTGTATTGCCCAATAAATATTCTACCTATTGTCTAAATCGTTTATATGGGGTGCTCGCCTGATCGAAACCGGGCCTCATCGTCGTTTTTCCTTGGAGCAATAAAGGTATCGTTTCTCGTATTTTTGTCTACCACCGGATTGGCCACTCGGTGTCTGTCTTTCAGTTCCCCCTTCCCCGGCCCCTCCCTGTGTTCGGTGTGAGCCAGGGCAGGTTACCCTAGGTAATTGTTCTATCGTTCTCGTTCTCTTCCCTAGACTAGAAATTATACTCCCCGTACAATGTTTTGACCCCCCTCCTAACTCCGTCCAAAGTGTACTAATTCGGACCAAATTTGGTATGTAGTATACTCACAGGCTAGTAACAAAAAATAACATAGCTGGACCTACCTTATAGTTGAATATCAAAATCTAGGGGCAATTTTCAAAAATCACCTTAAAAAATCGAGGAAAAAGTTTTGACCCCCCTTAGAAAACTTTAGATATCGCCAGCGGATGCCACGCAAACTTATTGTAATCGACGTCCCATACCTGAATACAGGTTAATATATGGTTTTCCGTTGAATGCTTCGTTGCATTTGAGTATTCAACGCGTTAAACCGTTTTTGATGTAGACCTGCCCAAAATTGTAAAAATCTTGCCCTAGCGCTTTCCTAGAGCTCTAAATTGGGTTTATATTATGTTCTTTAGACCTGTATTTACCCTCTCCTTTCAATAAAAGTGCATGGTGGCCTGGCGGTGTAGATTCGGCAGATACCCTCTTGTCATGCCCAGCCTTGGTGAGCCATTTACTCTTTGACTCAAGGTCGAGATGTGGTCGTTAGGTCCTCAATGTAATCCTGAGACTCCTAGCTACTCTCATTAATGTAAAATGTTTTGATTTGACACGTTTTGTAATGGGTTTCATTCACCTTAATCTTAAGTTTGCCGTTACTGTAGATGACCCCGAGTACTATTACATCCCCGCCTCCCATTTGGCGTTTCATACGTCTCAAATGAGTATGGTGGGTGCTGTAACGTCTTAAATTACCTGGTCCATCAAATGAAAGCCGTTTTTGGTGGCTAAAAATCCATTTGAAAAACACGGGTTTTTCGTTAAGGTGCAGATCGGCGAAGTTGCGCCTGCAAACCATATGAGACCGTGTCAGCCGGAGTTTATTCTTTGTTTGAGAGTAACTAGGAGTCTCAGGATTACATTGAGGACCTAACGACCACATCTCGACCTTGAGTCAAAGAGTAAATGGCTCACCAAGGCTGGGCATGACAAGAGGGTATCTGCCGAATCTACACCGCCAGGCCACCATGCACTTTTATTGAAAGGAGAAGGTAAATACAGGTCTAAAGCACATAATATAAACCCAATTTAGAGCTCTAGGAAAGCGCTAGGGCAAGATTTTTACAATTTTGGGCAGTTCTACATCAAAAACGGTTTAACGCGTTGAATACTCAAATGCAACGAAGCATTCAACGGAAAACCATATATTAACCTGTATTCAGGTATGGGACGTCGATTACAATAAGTTTGCGTGGCATCCGCTGGCGATATCTAAAGTTTTTTAAGGGGGGTCAAAACTTTTTCCTCGATTTTTTAAGGTGATTTTTGAAAATTGCCCCTAGATTTTGATATTCAACTATAAGGTAGGTCCAGCTATGTTATTTTTTGTTACTAGCCTGTGAGTATACTACATACCAAATTTGGTCCGAATTAGTACACTTTGGACGGAGTTAGGAGGGGGGTCAAAACATTGTACGGGGAGTATAGGTTCTAGGATAGTTCTCGTTTCCCATTGCCGTATCGATTTTCTCGTTTCCTATCGTTTATCGTTTTCCCCCTAGTAAAGTCTCTAGGCTCCTCTTGTTCCCTTTCTCCAAGTCAATTTTCCCGACTGGACAATCTCTTGTAATTTTCCCGGATTCCAACACAAACTTATTCCCTAGTCCTGTAGACCCTTCACCAGGCCATGAACCATTCGTCCTTTGACAGTATCTACTTAACTAGTGCCGACATTCTATCCTCCCCATTGTTCTCTCGAAATGCGTGGCAGCTCCATCTTGACTATCTACGTCAATACGGCGATCAACCGACCAATGACGCTCGTGATCGAGAAACATTCAAGGTCCTAGGTAGAACACAGGTTTTCCAAAACCTCATCCAAATATGCCGCAAGATTCATGTAGTTTATGGCACTACTCTACCAGATATCCTCGAAGACTTATCCCGACCTCTCAACCAGATAAATGACCCCACTATTTCCCCTCAGGTGACCTTTGACCGTTTGAAATTAGTTTTAAGTGAGCTCCGTCAATTTGAGAAACAAGCAAATACCCTCCTAGGAGAGCTCAGCGATGTCTGTTACTCCAACAACGTTCCTAACGAGTCTTTGAATATCTTCTTGTCATCCATTGAGAGGCCTATCATGTCAGCAATAATTAAGTATTGGAGCAATAGTTGTAAGGAAAAAATAGCTGTCCTTGAAGAATCCTTGGATCCACGAAACTCCCACAAGTTCGAAACCATTTCTCCTGTTACCCCTCCAAAGCTCTCAAATCTCGTTCCGACTTTCTCTTCTTCCCCAATTCTTCCGTTAGGTCTTCTTCCTCCCATGAATTCTCCGCCGAAGCGATTAGGTATCGATCTGGCAAAGGCCAAAGTTCCCCGTTTCACTGGTCGAAAAGATGAATTCCCCATGTTTTTCGCCTTGCTGAATGAGGTCCTCGACTATAACAGAGATTACCCCGAGACTACTCGCATAGGATTCCTCGTTTCCAATCTTGGCGGTGAACCCTTGACTAGCATTCAGTCAATTCCAATCCGAGCAGGTAGTTTAGCCATCATGTTGAAGTCCCTCCAGGATAGATACGGTGACTCTGAAGATCAAGTCGACCGGTTGATAAAGATTCTCAAGGATAAAAGGCTTTCTGTTCCTCGTACCCATCAAGAATTGACATCGTGGTATTATCAGCTGCGTGATATGAGTGTCTGCCTCCTTTCCTCCACTTCCGAAGCCCAAGAACGCCTGTTTCTCTCTTGTCTGTTCGATTCCCTTCCTTTCAATATTCATGAATCCATAGTTGCTTCCTTCGATCGTTCAGGTCAAAAGGCTACCGGTCAAGAATGTCATCAATGAATTAGGGATCATCGTTAGAACCCGTGAGAAGTTGCTTTTCCGAGCTGGAGACGTTTCTGATCGTCGAGAGACTTGTGACTTCCTCAATCATTCGAATTTCGAACCTCGAGCCTTGTTCAATTCCGCCAGTCCTGATACTCGTTCTTTTCCCCAATCCCGGTCTGACAATACCAGTTTCTTCAATCCCAATCCTAGTCTGACTCTTGCTTCTTGTGCCTTCTGTTCCCTGCCTCATGACTCTGCAAGTTGTCAGATTGTCCAAGATTTCGATTCTCGTCAGCGGATTGTTCGTGAGAATAGGCTCTGCCTTCTTTGTCTCCAACGTGGTCATATCGTTGCTCAGTGCTCTCATTCTCGGTGCTCGAATTGTAACGGTCGACATCATGTTTCTCTTTGTGGTAAATTGTTTCCTCCAAACGAATCGAACTTCAAACCTCAGCCTGAAACTCCTCTGAGTTCCATGAACCCTACCCTGAATCCAGCACTTTCTTGTTTCCCGAGGTCAAACCCAGTCGAATTAGTTACTCCAGAGATACCAATGAGAAGCTTTCGGTTGAATGGAGACCAATAAATTCCGCAATTGCCTTCCCCTACCGTTTCGTACTCTATTGTATCGCATCCTACCGTTTCGCACCCTGTCGTATCGTCTATCGTATCGAATCCTATCGGATCGAAATCTATCGTGTCGCCTATCGTATCGCCTGTCGTCTCGTCTCCTATTGTATCGGATCCTATTGCTTCGTGTCCTCTCGTATCGTCTATTGTAACACCCCCTATCGTATCTGGTTCGAGAAATTGTGTGATTGTTTCGGTAAAATCTTCCTATACTCCCCAAGACTGCTTTCTGAATATTGGAAATCCATCTGATCTCGTTATGGTTCCCCATGTTCGTCATCGTAAATGGCGTCGTAAGAAAATTGTGGATCGAGGGCAGGTATTGCCGCTGGTCAATATTGGGTTCACGAATCTTCCTGAACCCTATTCTCCCTATCATACTCCATCCGAAACTCCCCACTCTTCCCCATCGCTCTCTGGATGTCATTTTCTACTGAATCAATTGCCGATTGAACAACGCACTCGATGCAAACTCAAATTCCTGGACTTAGAACCTTCACATGGACAGCCATTCGAAGATGAATACCCGGACTCCCTCATGACGTGCTCTTGCCCTGATGTACCCAATCCGAACCCGCCAGCCATAGAAGAACCCTATCGATGTGAACCCATGGTCAAGGAAAGAAGAGGAAAAGTGGGCATGTTGGCGACTTCATTGAAACCGCCAATTATTTCCCACGAATTTGCATAAAGTCAAAGGACAAAGTCTTCATAAGATCAATTTTCCCTATTCTCAGAAGTCGGTGTCTCGCGCTCCTCTAGTGAGCGGTTGTGTGTGTTTCTCGTGTATTGCCCAATAAATATTCTACCTATTGTCTAAATCGTTTATACCCCCCTTCAAAACAGTTTTTTTGACTTGGAGAGGGAAGCATTTTGCCACATTTTTGATACTTCCCGAACGCAAAATTATACGCTTTTTGCCACTGGATCAGCCCCCCCCCCCACGGTATTTTAAAAACCAATGAAAAAGTGACGATAACAACTTTCTTTTTGCCCACTTTTATACTATAGTATATATACATACATAGTGTGACTGTCTCGTTCTCCAAAGTGTCAGATATTTTTTCTTCGGATTCTCAAATTTCATTCCGCAGGCCTTCGGAATCCGCCCTTTCTCAAACATTTTCCCATTCGGCCAAAAATGAAGATGCCCGTCTTGAAAAGGAGTTTTTTCGAGAGCAAAACTTATGGCCGGCGGTCAGTTTATGAAAAACGTTTTTATGAAAAAATGAATTATTTTTTGCGGGAAGAATTTCGCGGCAAAGAGGAAAGGGGATTTATAATATGTATATTATTTACTATTAGTCGTATTTTGTGATTGTAACTTTTTTTGTGAAAACTTGTTTCCTTCATATTACAAATTTTCAAGAAAAAATTTAAAAAAGATATTCGGATTCTGGTGTTTTTTATGAGTAAGGTAACCAAGATGTGACCCATCAATTTTGGCAAACTTTGACACAGGTTCACAATGGATATAATAGTAGAACCTCCAGGAACTTTAGGCCGGAAATCACGGAAAATTGCTGACCATTTTGTGGTTTGGATTCGAAAATATGAGGACTTGTTAGTGTATTATTATATATATAGGATTAACATATAGGATTAAAATCAAGGTGAAAATTTTCCCACTAACAGTGGAAGTACCCCAAGTCCGACGCTCAGATTTTGATGAAGCTTGGCCCAAAATTAAAACAATGTTTTCCAAGATATATGCAACAATCCTGGCTCGCGCTTTGCAGAAACAACCGAGATTTTTAGATCGAAAGTCGGCGAAAATTTGACAATTTTTGCCTTATTTTGGCACGAAACCTTTTGTGCCTATTTCTACCACAGAGGGTAAGGTTTCCACAAAAAAATCAAATTTTTTGGTCGAAAATAACAAAGTTATGGCCAAAAAGTGTTTTTCTCTCTGACCGCTCTCCGCGTTTAGTGTGCTCTCTCGGTGGCGAAGATCGTTCGATATCTCGGTGGCACCGGCTAAGCGCAAGCTAGAACTTTCAGGAATTGATATTTAGTCCATACCCGACGTGTGTGCAAAATTTAAAGAAAATCTGGGCGTCGCACTTGGAGTACTTCCCCTGTGAGTATGTTCATAAAGACGAATTTGTATGAGCTATGAAATTATTTGTTATAGAAAGACTTCATTGTACGTGAGCTTGTTTTACAGCGTTTTCATTTTACTATAATACCCATGTTCTTCCCCAAAAAACATTGCAAACAATTTAATCCCTTGCCCTTTGACTCGGCATGTTCTCCGTCCCTGTTTCATTGTCATCTCCCTCTCTCTCTCCCACTATTTCCCCTCTTTATTGGCCGTACTAGGAACGGCCGAACATGTAGGCCCATTTACTCCTGGTTTTTTTACATTATACTCTGAAAATTTAACTTTCAGGCTCCAATTTCCTCCCCGAATAATTGCGTGTTTTATTGACCCCCGACGCAAAGCGCAAACATTATTTGCAGGTGATTACGAGCTGATTTTTCCCTATTTATTTGGCCATCGCGCTCTTATCAGTGAGAATTTATGATGATCGACGGGACAGTCAATGTTTTTATTGGGAAGTGAGGGAGGTCTGAGAATACGATAGGGTTTTTTGTGGGAGTTTAAGATCATAGGCACCTTCTGAAGCCAACGTTTTGATGCCGGAAGAGCTTGCAATAAATTGAAAATTTTTTTCAAGCTTTTAAAGTAGTGTCCTAAAGATGATTTTTATTAGGCTGGATATAAAGTTATGACCATTTTCTTGCAAAAGTTTGAAGTCAATTATTTTCTAGCTCAGATCCCTCTTTGTTTAAACATACTTGTAGACTAATAGAAGGCTCATCGAAGCTTCATCTGGAGTACACTGCGAAACCTTACGGCATAACCGAGATTTTCTATTGCTAAAAACTCAGAAGTGCCCCGATTTTGGCAGGGCACGAAGCAACTCAAGTCATGCCCCTTTGACAGCCACTGATGGTCTCGGATTGGTGTTATTAGAATAATTAAGGGTCGTAGAAGACGCTGACACAGCATCGTTACTAGGTAGCGGAGACGATTTCTTAATTTCTCTTCTCTGATGTTTTAGCCGGAGGCCGGTATGCTACTGGTTTTTGGAGTTTACTGTCCCCATCTTACACTGCGGTATGCTAGTCAACTCCGAAAAATGTATCATTGAAGCTTCACGAATTTTAGAATATTATGGTCATAACTTTTCTCCCAGCCTAATAGAATTGGCCGAAACTTGTCCATGTTCGTCGTCGACCCGGCTTTCATCATTTTATGCACTCTTTTGTAAAAAAGGCCCTTGAATATCTCCGCTTCACTTGCAATGCGCAAACTAAAATTTCTCAGGACAAATCTATGGTCTTTCTAGAGTATCTATGCCAAATTTGAAGAAAATCGAAGCTTTCAATTTGAAGAAATGACCTTTACATTCAAGCTGCCTACCACAACATAAAAATTTTTTTGCTCCATTTTCATTTCCTTTCCACTGGTTCTACTGCGTCTAAAAACATCTCAAAATTGATTAAACCTCCGTTTTATCTCCTCTCTACCCCAAATAACTTTGATTTCTCTCCCATAAAAATCGGAATTTTACGGCATTTTGATGGGTCTAAAAAAAAACAAGTATTCATAGGGTTTGTGGTTATACTTTTGTTTTGCTCCGATTGACTTGATTTTTGGTGTGGGGGTTCTTTTAGCTGCTCTCTTTGAGTATTTGAAAAAAATTTTAAAAATTTTCAATTTTGAGTGACCTATGACGTCATGAAAGGTCGAAACTTTGAGTCTCTGTATCTCGCTTCGTTTTACAGCTACCGACTTGATTTTTGGTTTCATCGCGTATGGTACATAATGGGACAATCACTGTCGAGATTTTTTCGAAATTTCAAAATTTACGAAAAAAATCTCAAAAAATGACCTTTTTTCGTAAACGTTCGACGCGTCCAGCTTTATTGAAATGCAAGCTTCTACAGGTCCATATCGGGAAAGCAAATTCATAACTAAGAGATATCTCGATGTATGTGTAGATACGGCCATGTACAATGTTACACTTCCAGAAAACCCCGTCATGATGACGGATTTTCTGGATTTTTTCGATTCCATTGAATTCTACGTACCAAACTTCCTATTAGGTCGTGTCTTTCTTTTTTGTACTTTACTTCGTATTTTAGCTATGGCTTACTGTAAAAAATACGATTTGCACAGTGCAAAATTCAAAAAAATCGTTCTCGGCTCCCAAGTCGAAATTCAAAAAAACGGCTCGCGGATCTTATTTTTTTTACTCGAAGATTGTCCCAAAATTTTTTCAGAACATTCTACGTAGCCATCGTTTCAGAAAGTGTGCATACTTGAAAACGCAATTTTTCGAAATTTTTGACTTTTTCGATTTTTCAAAATTTTCGCTCTGATGTACAACAACGATTTCAAAAATGTCCAACAATAGATTATAGAACTCGAAGGGCTCTACAAATTACCCGCTTACATCGTCTTCGTATCTTTGAAATTACGGCCCCCAAAGCGGCCGGAAATTTCGGTCGATTTTTGGTGCACCGTGCGAAAAAAATCGCCCTCAGGGCAATAAGCGGAGTTGAACAAATTGATCATATGGGTGCTATAGGACACAAAATGAACTACCATCGTGCCAAGTTTCAGCTTTCTACCTCCAATATTCCGTGCGCACCGTGCGGTCGAAAAAAAATTTCGAAATTTCGGTCAAAATTCGGCCCTGAGGGCTTGGAATCGAATTTTTTCGGATTTTAATTTCGTCAATCGTATTCAGCACACTGAACTGCTACAGAAACAGGTATCGATTCCTAAAATACGCACAGGTTGAAAAAGCAGTATTCGAATTTCCGAATTTTTGGATTTTACTTATTTTGACGAAAGTTACTATAGCTCGGGAACAAGGTCGAAATTCAAAAATCGGCTCCACGCGTGCAGTAGATAATTTTGTTGCCTTGGTATAACCGTTGAAATCTGAACCGTGTGGTAAGCCCCTAAGGCCAAATCGTGCAGCGACTTTTTTGACCAAAAAATTTAAAATTTTTAAAACCGTCAAAACTCAAAAATTTGCAACTAAAATTCGTCTAAAAGTTACATATTCAGAATCTCCATGTCATTTCGGACATAGTCGTATCTTTTTTCCCGGTACTTTTAGTGCAACAAGTGCCGGTTTTGAAAAAACGCCCACTTTCACGACCGAAAACACAGGAAAAGAGCGCGGCAAAGAGAGAGAGCGGGCAGAGAACCGCTTCCCTCTTCGTTTGGCGGGAGAAAAGAGATAGTGAGAAAGGTGTGGTGGGTGGTTAGACAAAGGTTTTCTCTTTCGATTCCGGTCAGAGATAAGACGGAGAGACTGGTGAGTGTGAGGAGGGTGGTACAGAAACTGTCATCATGACACGTCATGACGGGATTTTCTGGATTTTTTCGAGAAATTTTTGTAAAATTATTTTTTTGGTCCTGGATTCTCGGGATTTGGCCGTTTTAGGGCCAAATTTGACGGGGATTTCGGGAAAAATATTATGTAAGGATACTTTTGAGTGCTGAGTCTATTTTTTCGAGCTTTTAGTTGATTTTTCCTTATTGTATGAGCTTCTGATCAAGTTTTGGTGGAAGGAGGATTATTTTAGGAAACAAAATGTAGTCTCGCGGCGGCCGTAGGCCGTCGCCTCATGCCGGCGGGCTCTTTAATCGGGCTTAGCGATCTG